TGGCTGCATGGTCACGAAGGGGGTTGCATCATACCGCTGCACACACAGGGTTCAACTACTTTGTGGTGTTGGTTTTCTTCCTTTTGCCTCGACTTGGGCTTCGGGATAGAATTCAAGTTCCCAGGATTGTACAGCAAACGATCCTCCTGCGGACTAACTCAGACTTCACAGAAGGCATTCAAAGAGCAAGCGTGAGGGCAAACTAGATGTTTGTAAAAGGCAGGATTCTTCTCCCGCCTGTCTGGAATCTAAAATAGCTTCAGAAGCCTAAATGCCCTGGTTACATGACAGAGCATTGGTTCCCAGATTCAACTGTGGGAATGCCTTTGAGAAGGGACACTTTAAACCTTCCATAGACAGCATGCATTTAGTATCTCGTGGGTAATTAAAAAAAAAAAAAAAAAGAGTAGCAGCCACCCTGGTGGTTCATGCCTGTAATATTGCTCTTGGGAGGCTGAGGCAGGAGGACTGCCTTGAGCCCAAGACCACACTAAGATAGAGTCACAGGTTAAGAAGACTTTTGTCAAGACTGAAGGAGGCACAGATGCTGCTCAATTCGTGACTACCAGAAAGCCAAGTGAGGACTTAAAAGCCACAGGCTGAGCGAAGAATTCCGTGGGTGATGGCGTATGCTTTAGTCTTAGGACGTGAGGGGGTCTGGAGCACAAGGCCAACCTCGGCTACATATCAATTATAAGGCTAGCCCAAAGGAGGTCCTGTCTCAAAAACCTAACAAAGGGGCTCAAGAGTTGTAGCATGAACTTCATGGAGACCATTGCTGCTTGACAAAGTTCCAGTATTCCGACTTTTTGGATCACAATTTCCCAACACTTTTTCACTTTCGTTTTTAATGATTCTCCCTATGTGTTCTGGGGAGTTTCTGTTGGGCCCAGCCACTACAAGCTCAAAAGAGGCCTGAGGCTCAGAAGTTTGCCCTAAAGCAATACCTGATTCCACAAACTGAGACCACCCAGGTACCACCCAGGAACAGACCACCCAAGGGAAATTTCTAGATTTGTAGATTTAATCACCTGATGTCTCTTGGCCCAGCACACCCATCCTCCTTCACCAAGACACCCCTAGAAAAATGTCAGCTAATGAGGGGTCCTGAACCTTAGAAATCCCTCACCCCAAACTCTGTTATTATAAAAGCCCTACCTCAACTTAGCCCAAGGTTCTCTGATTGTGTTAATGCATTGGGCACATAGGGAGTCCAAGTTTGAACTTGAATAAATAAAGGCTCTTTGCTTTTACACACAGGACTCAGTGTTCTTGTTGGTGTTGGGGGGGGGGGCTGCAAATGGGCATAACAGTTTCTTTATACCCTTTCCCTTTGGGAAATTTGGTGTGGACTTTCCTTATGCCCAAATCCGTGGGGTCCCCACAAAAGCCAACAGAGAAGACCGAGTCCCATATGTAAAAGCAAAGAGCCTTTATTTTAATCAAGTTTGCAAACTCGGTCTCTCCGCATGTCCAACGTATTGGGATATCCAGAGAGCCCCGAATTCAATTAGAATTGGGTTTTTATAGTAGTAAAGGTGGGGGGGTGGGGGTGAGGGGTCTCTGAGGTTCAGGACCCCTGATTGGCTGACATTTGTCTAGGGGTGTCCTGGTGAAATACTGGCAGATGTTTCTATCTATGGTGCTTGGAATGCAGGGATTTCCTTTGAATGGTCTGCTCTTGGGTGGAGGTCGGGTAATTTCAGTACCAGGCATCATCTCAGGGTAAACTATTGAGACTCCAGACTCCATTTAAATCTATGGATGGCCAGAGTCCCAGGTGATGATGGTTGGAAGTTAAGAGCTCCCTTTGGATGACCTGCCCAGACTTAGCTTTCATGGCCCCCACATTTTGAAGGATGAGAATGTATAAGATGGCAGCCTCTTTAAGCAAAATAATTCTTTGGAAAAAAAAAATCTCTGACACTGTGGGAACCATCCAGTGTGCTCTGACTCCTCCCACACACACCAAGTTGCTAGAAAATGTAGGTAAGTGACACATGCTTGATGAATAAAAGATATTTAATAATCAAGATTTATGATTTTTTAAAATTAATTTATTTATTATGTATACAACATTCTGCCTTGATGTATGCCCGCACGCCAGAGCAGGGCGCCAGATCTCAGTACAGATGGTTGTGAGCCACCATGTGGTTGCTGGGAATTGAACTCAGGACCTCTGGAAGAGCAGCCAGTGCTCTTAACCTCTGAGCCACCTCTCCAGCCCCAAGATTTAGAATTCTATTTTTTTTATTTTTCGAGACAAGGTTTCTCCTTAGCTTTTTGGTTCCTGTTGTCCTGGAACTAGCTCTTGCAGACCAGGCTGGCCCCAAACTCACTGGGATCCACCTGCCTCTACCTCCGGAGTGCTGGGATTAAAGGCGTGTGCCATCACCACCCGGCCTAGGGCTGATTTCTTAAGGTCTTCACAAGTTCACAGCAATATTTGTCTAGCTTCTTAATCTTTGCCCCCTTAAGCCTAAGCAATTTGGATAAACTAAGCCATACTAAAAAAAAAAAAAAAAAAAAAAAAAAAAAAAAAAAAAAAAAAACCTGGCCACCATTCTTATCTCTGGAGAAACTCCTGACCCTTGCATTAACATTAACTGGTGTCAATTAGCCTAACAAGGTCAGTGGTTCCCTCCCACCCACCCCCCACCTCAAGCCACACCCCCAGCTCACATTCTTCCTCTCCTAACCCCCAACCCCCAATCCCTGGGCAACTATAGATTACAAAAGGTGTGTTCTTTTCTTCAATAAACTGGCAGGCAGCCATCCCAGTTCACCCTCGGGTCCTGTCAGCCTCCTTTCTACCCCCTTGCTCCACAAGTCCTCTTTGGGACCGTGTGTTCACAGCACCAATGTGGTAGCTCACAACCATCCATAACTTCAGTTCCAGAGGGCCCAGCGTCCTCTTCTGACCCCCCCTCCTGGGGGGGGGGCACCAGGCACACAAGTGGAGGCCATAAATATATGCAAGCAAAGCACCCATACACACAAAAACAAGCAAACAAAAACTTAATTTTTGAATCAAGTCACAGGAGATCCAGGAAGATTTCTATATACATAGATTTTAGATTCCCTTTAAGGTCAGGTGTGAGACAATTTTTTTTTTAATCAAACAATTTTTTTTAAAGACAAAGTTACCGATAGCCCAGGCAGGCCTCAAAACTTGTTTTGTGGAAAATCTGACCCTGAACAACAGCTGACCTTCTAAATGCTGGAATGTTAGGTGTCTACTACCAAGCCTGATTTGTGTATGTGTGTGTGTGTGTGTGTGTGTGTCAGGCAGGATGAAACGACGGAGTCGAATCTCTATCTATAGGTATGTAATTTTTATGTAGAGGCAAGAAAAGTCAGATAAACTCTGAATGTTTATTTTTCAAAAATACAAGCTTTGAGTAAATTTAGTAAATTTTTTTTTTTGGTTTTCAAGACAGGGTTTCTCTGTAGCTTTCGAGTCTGTCCCGGAACTAGCTCCGGTAGACCAGGCTGGCCTTGAACTCCCAGAGAGCCGCCCGCCTCTGCCTCCCGAGTGCTGGGATTACAGGCGTGCACCACCGCCGGGTTTAAAGTAGATTAAAGAGCAATTAATTCCCAGCCCGACCCTAGACACTACTGGGGCGGGGCCGTGACTGTTGTAACGCTGTGGGCGGGGCCTAGCCGCTGTCTCGCCTTATATAGCCCGTGCAGGCCTTCAGGGCTTCCTATTGCTGTTGAGCTGCTGCTGCTGCTGACTGCTGTCTGCTGTACCTGGTGAGTACCTGAAGGGTTGGGGAATGGCTAGAATCTCGGGTTCTGCGAAATTCGGACTTCTGGGTTTTGAGACGGGGCCGTGGGCGGCTGTCACTTCAGTTAGTTCCGGGGAGCGTGGGTGAGCAACAGTGGCTCCAGGGAGGCCGAGGCTGATTTTTCCAAAGGAAAACTTGTGGACTTTTGGGTTACCGGGCCTCTCACACCAGCCTGGAATCTTAGTTCCTGCATTCTTGCACACATGCTCAGGCACACATAGATAAATAAAATTTTGTAATATTTTGGTCCGATCTATGCTGTGCATCATGTCTGTGTATGCCTGAGGAGGTCCAAGAGGACTTGAGAGCCCTTAGAGTTATGGATGGTTGTGAGCCATCCTGTCTGTCTGGGATTGAGCCTAGTCACTTGCAAGAGCAAGGGGTGTTCTTTTTCATTTATTTATTTATTTTTGGTTTTTTCAAGACGGGGTTTCTCTGTGGTTTTAGAGCCTGTCCTGGAACTAGCTCTTGTAGACCAGGCTGGTCTTGAACTCTCACAGAGATCCGCCTGCCTCTGCCTCCCCAGTGCTGGGATTAAAGGCGTTCGCGACCACCGCCCGGCAGCCGGGTGTTCTTTTTTATTATTAAAACTTTAACCTTAGCGGCACACGCCTTTAATTCCTGAGGCAGGCTGATATTTGTGAGCTTGAGTTTGAGGCCAGCCTGGTCTACGAGAGCTAGCTAGTTCCAGGGCAGGCTCCAAAGCTACAGAAAAACCCTGTCTCGAAAAACAAACAAATTTAACTTTATTTTCTGTGCATTAGTTTGTTGGTGTGAACGTGTCAGGTCCCCGAGAGTTTCAGGCAGTTGTGAGCTGCCATGTGGGTACTGGGAATTGCGTTTAAGCACTGAGCATCTCTCTAGTACCCCAAAGAGGTGTTCTGGGTTTAGTCTGTTTACTGTAGAGGGGCTATTAGGAGAAAGAGACAGCAGGGAGCAAAGAATGGGGCTGTGGGTGGGCTGCGGTGCCTGTGGCGCAGATATTAAAAATGCTTATAGCCTAGGAGAGTAGGGATGCACAGTGCGGAGTGAAACAGAAAGCCAGCCTGCTGTTTCGGTTCTTGTCAGGATTTTGCCTGGAAGTCTCCCCCAAACCCTTTCTGAATCTTACCCTACTGTATAATTTTATATATTTTTAAATTTCTTTCTGGAGGCAGGTTCTCATGTACTCTATTCCATATCTCCTAACAGGACTCCACCATTGAAAATATGATGGATGATTCCTTCATAGCGACGGTCTTGGCGGGATGTGGCGGCTCCTCTCAGGTCCTGTTTAACGGGGTGGAGGACTTCTACGTTCCTGGAGGAGATGTAACTTGCCGGTACAGCTTCACCCGGCAGTTCAACCCTCGCCACAGTGACTGGATTGGCATCTTTAAAGTGAGTGTTCGTCCCAAGGGGTTGGGATCTAGTGGAGTCTTAGTGTATAGGCTGTGTCTGCCCAGTCAGAAATTCTAAACTACAGTTCCCAGAGCTTTCTCACCACACCAATTTATTTGTCTTGACTCTTAAGGAACTAGCAACTGCCCCAAACAAAGCGAAAATCTTGTGCTCTATAAACTAAAATATTGAGCTGGTTGTACACTGTACTTGCCTTTAATCTCAGCTAGGGAAGTGGCACGCAGCTGTAATCCCAGCTGACCAGCCCGTTGAGCCAAATTGGTAAGTGGATGGAGTGGGAAGATAGCTCAGTGAGCGCATGCACAGGGCCTGACCTTAAGTCTCAGCCCCATATACTTGAAAAGGTCCGTATGGCCATGCACGACCTCATTCTTAATCTTGGGGCCTGCCTGGCTGCAGGGTCAGTGGGAGACCAATTCGAAGAATAAGGCAGTGATAGAATAGAATACCCAAAATATACGACATATATTCCTAACAAGAAAAGTTCAAGGGGGAGTGCATTATAGCCCACGCCCCTCTACCCAATACTTGGGAGGCAGAGGCAAGACAGCCTGATCTACATAGTAGATTCCAGGACAGCCAGGGAGAGCTTGAGACCCTGTATTGCACAAAACAACAAAACGGGGTGAAAAGACTGAGGAAGCTAGTGCGGGCCTGGCCACAATCAATATGCGGGCATCTATACACATTAACACACACGTGCTTGCACAGATACGCACACAAGGTTTTGCTATGTATGTAGCTCAGGCTGACTTCAATCCTTAAGGTTCCACGTGGTTGTAATTGTGGGTCAGTCATCATTAGGACTGGTTTCTCAAAACATTCTTACCGGTTCCCTGCTCTGTGTAACATTGGATAATACAGTTTGGCTGTTTGCTTTGACATTGGCCTGGAATTTACCTTGTAGTCTCAGGCTGGCCTCAGCAACCCTCTTGCTTTAAGTACTCCAGTGTCAGAAGGATGGACCTAAGCTACCACATCTGGCTGGTGACTTAGGGATCAAATCTGAAGCGCTTGTAATGAGATTTGAGAAGTTACAGTTCTATTTCCTTCTTAACTGGAATTTTGAGTGTTTGTTTACCTAAATTTATTTTCGATGCTGCTTCAATTTATTCTGTTGCTGTTATGAAACAGCATCTTAGAGGCTTGCCAAAAGGACGGAGACTCAGGCTGAAAACCACTGTATTAGCCACGAGTCAAGAAACATGGTTCCTGTCATAATGAAATGAATTCAGTATAAGAAAATGAAATTTAGGTGCATTTTATTTAAGAAATCTTAGCCCAAAGAAGACTTTCAAGTTCCATCAGTGCTGAATCAGAGCCTCTTTCCTTGCAGGTGGGGTGGGAGACAATTAAGGACTACTACACATACATGTGGGTTCCCATGCCCAGTCCCGAGGAATTAACCACGCAGCAGGAGGTACTATTCAAAGGTATGGAAAAAAATACTAGGCTAACCCCTTGAGGCCTCTAAGACAGTTTTGGTATTTGTTTTAAAAGGCTTAACTCTTTATTTTGTATTAAAAATCACAAACCTTTTTCAGCTTATTATCTGCCCAAGGATGGTGAGAATTACCAGTTCTGCTACGTGGATGAAGATGGCAAGGTTCAGGGAGCAAGTACCCCTTTCCAATTCTGTTCAAAAAGTGAGGAAGACATGCTGATTGTTACCACTCAGGTTTGTAACCTCCCCTCAAGCTTCTTTCTGTTGCCTACGAGATCCAGGCGAGGGTGGACTTTGAGACGATAGCCATTATGGACTGACAGTAGATAGATGCTTTTGGGAAAAATCATGACCTACAGTAATCTATTCAGGGATGACTTGAATAATTTTTATGAGACAGGGTTTCTCTTTAGTTTTTGGTGCCTGTCCTGGAACTAGGGCTTGTAGACCAGGCTGGCTTTAAACTCACTTATCTGTCTGCCTCTGACTACCATGTGCTGCACCCCTGCCGCCGGGCCGACTTTAGAATAATTTTAAAAATCAAAGCGTGATTTCTTTCTCCCTTCTGTAATTTCAGGAACTGTTCAATTTAACACAACCTCAACAACCAACCCCACAAAACTACACTATGATTCAGGCAGACAAAGATTCAGGGCCGACTTTCAGCCTCAGCATTTGAGTAACTTGCAACCGTCCCAGTGTCCCTCATAACTCCCCCTGAACCCCAGACGGGTTTTTTTCAGTGTAGCTGTGGCGCCTGTCCTGGAACACATTGTGTCGAACTCAGGCCTCCCTCATAACTTCTTATGGCGTAAAATTTGCTCTATTTGGTCTCTCCTAGCAGAGGCAGACCTATTTCTGTGATTGCAAGGGCGGGCCCGCCAATGCACCTTCTTCCACCACATAGCTTCTCTGGCTGGCATGCTACAGGACACTTGAGGGAGTGCCAGTCACTCAGCTGCTCACCTTCCCAGCAGGTGGGAAGCTGCTGTGGAAGGAAGGGCTGTGATAAAGGAGCTGTGGTCTTTCTTGCAGGATAAGGTGGAAGAGATGGAGCAGCGCACTGCGGAGCTTCTCCGTGAAAACCAGGAGCTGAAGGAGAACTGCACCAACCTCCATCAGCAGAACACAGATGTGCAGGCAAAGCTGCAGAGGAAGCAGGTACAGATGCTGGCCAGAGGTGAACTTGGGATCAGGTACCTGACAATGTGGTGTCCTACCCGGTGCTAAATTCTGTTGGCTTCACTCCTGATTGTAATCGAAGATTGCTTATAATCAGAGAGAAAGAGCCACCATGTGCTTACTGGGGAAATGAACTCAGGATCTCTCTGGAAGAGCAGCTTGATGTCTTTCTCTCCTGGCAGAGACAGACTTCATTATTTGATTCTCTTGCAGGATAAGGTGGAAAAGATCGGGCAGCTCGCTAAGGAGCTTCTCCTAGTAAACCAGAAGCTGAAGGAGAACTGCACCAGCCTCTGCCAGCAGAAGTCAGATGCGAAGGCAGAGCTGCGGAGGGAGCAGGTACAGATGCTGGACAGAGGTGAACTTGGGATCAGGTACCTGACAATGTGGTGTCCTACCCGGTGCTAAATTCTGTTGGCTTCACTCCTGATTGTAATCGAAGATTTGCTTGTAATCAGAGAGAAAGAGCCACCATGTGCTTACTGGGAATTGAACTCAGGACCTCTCTGGAAGAGCAGCTTGATGTCTGTCTTTCTCTCCTGGCAGAGACAGACTTCATTATTGGATTTTCTTGCAGGGAAAGGTGGAAAAGATCGGGCAGCTCGCTAAGGAGCTTCTCCTAGTAAACCAGAAGCTGAAGGAGAACTGCACCAGCCTCTGCCAGCAGAAGTCAGATGCAAAGGCAGAGCTGCAGAAGGAGCAGGTACAGATGCTGGCCAGAGGTGAACTTGGGATCAGGCACATTAGGATGCAGTGTCTGACCCAGTGCTAAATTCTGTTGGCTTCACTCCTGATTGTAATCGAAGATTGCTTGTAATCAGAGAAAGAGCCACCATGTGCTTACTGGGAATTGAACTCAGGACCTCTCTGGAAGAGCAGCTTGATGTCTTTCTCTCCTGGCAGAGGCAGACTTCATTATTGGATTTTCTTGCAGGGAAAGGTGGAAGAGATGGAGCAGCGCACTGCGGAGCTTCTCCGAGAAAACGAGGAACTGAAGGAGCACTGTGCCAGCCTCTGCCAGCAGAAGTCAGACGCGAAGGCAGAGCTGCAGAGGGAGCAGGTACAGATGCTGGCCAGAGGTGAACTTGGCCATGAGAGAATTGCCCTGGCCCTATTTCATATTTGCCTTTGATTTTATCTGCTTTGGGAAGAAGAAAGGCAGAGGGGGTCACCAGCCAAAAACAGAAGGAACAAGATCTGCTGGGGGAATGGAGTCACATGGCAACATGTAGATGAATTGAAATGAGTTAATTTAAATTACGTGAGCCAGGTGGATGATGGCTGGAGAAATGGCTCGAGGTTTAAGATCAGTGGCTGCTCTTCCAGAGGCAGTTCCAATCCCCAACACCCACATGGTGGCTCTCAACCATCTGTAGTGATATCTGAGCCCTCTTCTGGCTGGCAGGCGCACACGCATGATGGCAAGAAATTGCATATATGGTAAATCTCTTTCAAAAAAGGAAATTAGGACCCCGCCTGAGCTATAGGCCTAGTTTTCAAGGAGAAAAGTCTCTGGTGCTGACAGGCAGGAGAGTCCCTGTCTTCTTGCATTCTACATTGGGGGGGGTCACATGGAGTCTGACTTCCTTTTGGCCTCTAGCTCAGAATCAATAATAGGAAGACTCACCCTGAACTATAGGCTCATCTGTCTCTACAACTTAAATGCTGTTTACCTGCATGTTGGCACAGGCTGTTGGCATAGGGCTGTGATCTCTGCTGCAGCGTGTCTTGCTCCCTCTGTCTTTTATTCTCTCAGAGCTCTCCTTCCAGTAGTCCTTTCTAGCCCCTGACTCACTATTGACTCACTTAGTTTTTTATTAAACCTATCCCTGTGCTGCAGTGTAAAGGATATTCCACAGCAGTTTCCCAGCCCCACACTGTGAGTCTCACCTGGTCACAGGACAGAGCCAGGTCAGGCTAAGCATCCACTCTCGCTATAGTCTTAGCTGGGGTGTCTAGCTGACCCTGAAATGTGTCTCCCCATTCCAGTTATCTCATGTAGTTCTATAGCCCTTCCTTGACCCCACCTAACCTGATCTCCCCTGTTCCCACCCTTATCCAGCTACAGTCCACCCTGGAGATCTGTCTTCCCTTTCCATACAGATCTATGCATTCTGCTTGAGCCTTCCTTGTTCCTGTGTTTGGCATGGTATTGCCACCCCTTTTTTTGAGCTGCAACTTCTCTCTGTAAGAGCACTATCTACTGTAGAACTCTCTGTAGAGTGGATGTCTGCGAATTTAGAGACCTGCCCTGCCTGGCTCTTCCATATTACCTGTGGCCTAGAGTTTGTTTCTTTCTTTCCTGACGGAGGCAGACTTAGTTCTGTGATTGCACTAGCAGACAAGTCAATTTCGTGCCTTCTGACTCACTGGATAGCTGCTCTGGCTCCAGTGATTGCCAGTCACTCAGCTGCTCACCTTCCCAGCTGGTGGGAACCTCCTGCTGGAAGGAAGGGTTGGAATACAGAAGCTGTGATTTCTCTTGCAGGAAAAGGTGAAATACATGGGGTTGAACACTGAGATGCTTCTCCAAGAAAACCAGCAGTTGATAGAGCGCTGTTTCAGCCTCAGTCAGCGAAACTCAGATGCTGATGAAGAGCTGCAGAGGAAGCAGGTACAATGCTGGCCAGAGGTGAACTTGGGATCCTGTACATGAGGACTGCGGTGTCTGACCTGGTGCTGTTTTCTATTGGCTTCACTGCAGAATATAATCAGACATTGGGCCTTGTTTCCTGACTGCCCATCCCCGAATAATCACAAACTATATTAAGATGAGTTAATACAGTTGCACAGTGATTTAGGTGTATTCCTACTTTGCTCTTACATCATAAATATATTTTTATCAGTCTGTCATCCACAAGTCTGTGGCTTACTGAGAAAGGAATGCTCTGGCATCTTCTGCATCTTTTGCCTGAGCCCACCTTCTTTCTCCCTTCATTCAGTTTAGTTTTCCTACCCACTTAGATTCTGCCCTGCTATAGGGCAAAATAAATAGCTTTCTTGAACAATGGTTAAAGAAAAAACAGGGCTACCCGGGAGTGCCAGTAACTCAGCTGCTCATTCCCAACTGCTGGGAAGCTGCTGTGGAAGGAAGGGATGTGATGAAGGAGCTGTGGTCTTTCTTGCAGGGAAACGTGGAAGAGATGGAGCAGCGCACTGCGGAGCTTCTCCGTGAAAACCAGGAGCTGAAGGAGAACTGGGCCAGCCTCCATCAGCAGAACACAGATGTGCAGGCAGAGCTGCAGAGGGAGCAGGTACAGATGCTGGCCAGAGGTGAACTTGGGATCAGGCACATGAGGATGCAGTGTCTGTCCAGGTGCTAAATTCTGTTGGCTTCACTCCTGATTGTAACCGAAGATTGCTTGTAATCAGAGAGAAAGAGCCACCATGTGCTTACTGGGAATTGAACTCAGGACCTCTCTGGAAGAGCAGCTTGATGTCTTTCTCTCCTGGCAGAGGCAGACTTCATTATTTGATTCTCTTGCAGGGAAAGGTGGAAGAGATGGAGCAGCGGACTGAGGAGCTTCTCCGTGAAAACCAGGAGCTGAAGGAGCACTGCGCCAGCCTCTGCCAGCAGAAGTCAGACGCAAAGGCAGAGCTGCAGAGGGAGCAGGTACAGATGCTGGCCAGAGGTGAACTTGGCCATGAGAGAATTGCCCTGGCCCTATTTCATTTTGCCTTTATCTGCTTTGGGAAGAAGAAAGGCAGAGGGGGTCACCAGCCAAAAACAGAAGGAACAAGATCTGGGGGAATGGGGGACATCAAAGCCAGGAGTGACTTGGCAACATGTAGATGAATTGAAATGAGTTAATTTAAATTACTTGAGCCAGGTGGATGATGGCTGGAGAAATGGTTCGAGGTTTAAGATCAGTGGCTGCTCTTCCAGAGGCAGTTCCAATCCCCAGCACTCACATGGTGGCTCAACCATCTGTAGTGATACCTGCGCCCTCTTCTGGCTGGCAGGCGCACACGCATGATGGCAAGAAATTGCATACATGGGGTAAATTTCTAAAAAGGAAACTGAGCTATAGGCACAGAGTTTTCAAGTCTCTGTGGTGCTGACGGGCAAGCAAGGGAGTCCCTCCCTGTCTTCTGGCATTCTACATTGGAGGTCACATGGAGCCCGACTTCCTTTTGGCCTCTAGCTCATTCAACAGGAAGACTCAGCCTGAACTATAGGCTCATCTCTCAGTCTCTACAACTTAAATGCTGTTTATCTGCATGTTGGCATAGGGCTGTTGGCGTAGGGCTGCAATCTCCTCCAGCATGTCTTGCTTCCTCTGTCTGGTAGGAGAGGTCCCCTTTTATTCTCTCAGAGCTCTCTGTCCAGTAGTCCTGTCTAGCCCCTGACTCACTATTGACTCACTTAGTTTTTTATTAAACCTATCCCGGTGCTGCATTGTGACTCAGTGTGAAGGATATTCCACAGCAGTTTCCCAGCCCCACACTGACTCTCACCTGGTCACAGGACAGAGCCCCGTCAGGCTATGCATCCACTCTCAGAGTCTTAGCTGGGGTGTCTAGCTGACCCTGAAATGTGTCTTCCCATTCATTCCAGTTATCTCTTATAGTTCTATCGCCCTCCCTTGACCCCACCTAACCTGATCCCCCCTGTTCCCACGCCTACCCAGCTACAGTCCACCCTGGAGATGTCTTCTCTTTCCATACAGATCCATGCATTCTGCTTGAGCCTTCCTTGTCACATAGTCTCTATACTAGTATTGCCGCCCCTTTTTTGAGATGCAACTTCTCTCTGTAAGAGCACTATCTACTGTAGAACTCTCTGTAGAGCGGATGTCTAGGAACTTAAGAGACCTGCCCTGCCTTGCTCTTCCATATTACCCGTGGCCTAGAGTTTCTTTCTTTCCTGACACAGGCAGACTTAGTTCTGTGATTGCTCTAGCACACACGTCAATTTCGTGCCTTCTGACTCACTGGATAGCTGCTCTGGCACCAGTGAGTGCCAGTCACTCAGCTGCTCACCTTCCCAGCTGGTGGGAAGCTCCTGCTGGAAGGAAGGGTTGGAATACAGAAGCTGTGATTTCTCTTGCAGGAAAAGGTGAAATACATGGGGTTGAATACTGAGATGCTTCTCCAAGAAAACCAGCAGTTGATAGAGCGCTGTTTCAGCCTCAGTCAGCGAAACTCAGATGCTGATGAAGAGCTGCAGAGGAAGCAGGTACAATGCTGGCCAGAGGTGAACTTGGGATCCTGTACATGAGGACTGCGGTGTCTGACCTGGTGCTGTTTTCTATTGGCTTCACTGCAGAATATAATCAGACATTGGGCCTTGTTTCCTGACTGCCCATCCCCGAATAATCACAAACTATATTAAGATGAGTTAATACAGTTGCACAGTGATTTAGGTGTATTCCTACTTTGCTCTTACATCATAAATATATTTTTATCAGTCTGTCATCCACAAGTCTGTGGCTTACTGAGAAAGGAATGCTCTGGCATCTTCTGCATCTTTTGCCTGAGCCCACCTTCTTTCTCCCTTCATTCAGTTTAGTTTTCCTACCCACTTAGATTCTGCCCTGCTATAGGGCAAAATAAATAGCTTTCTTGAACAATGGTTAAAGAAAAAACAGGGCTACCCGGGAGTGCCAGTAACTCAGCTGCTCATTCCCAACTGCTGGGAAGCTGCTGTGGAAGGAAGGGATGTGATGAAGGAGCTGTGGTCTTTCTTGCAGGAAAAGGTGGAAGAGATGGAGCAGCGCACTGCGGAGCTTCTCCGTGAAAACCAGGAGCTGAAGGAGAACTGGGCCAGCCTCCATCAGCAGAACACAGATGTGCAGGCAGAGCTGCAGAGGGAGCAGGTACAGATGCTGGCCAGAGGTGAACTTGGGATCAGGCACATGAGAATGCGGTGTCTGTCCCGGTGCTAAATTCTGTTGGCTTCACTCCTGATTGTAATCGAAGATTGCTTGTAATCAGAGAGAAAGAGCCACCATGTGCTTATTGGGAATTGAACTCAGGACCTCTCTGGAAGAGCAGCTTGATGTCTGTCTTTCTCTCCTGGCAGAGGCAGACTTCATTATTTGATTCTCTTGCAGGGAAAGGTGGAAGAGATGGAGCAGCGGACTGAGGAGCTTCTCCGAGAAAACCAGGAGCTGAAGGAGCACTGCGCCAGCCTCTGCCAGCAGAAGTCAGACGCAAAGGCAGAGCTGCAGAGGGAGCAGGTACAGATACTGGCCAGAGGTGAACTTGGCCATGAGAGAATTGCCCTGGCCCTATTTCATATTTGCCTTTATCTGCTTTGGGAAGAAGAAAGGCAGAGGGGGGTCACCAGCCAAAAGCAGAAGGAACAAGATCTGCTGGAGGTTGGGGGGACATCAAAGCCAGGAGTGTCTTGGCAACATGAGCCAGGTGGATGATGGCTGGAGAAAGGGCTCAAGAGGTTAAGAGCACAGGCTGCTCTTCCAGAGGCCAGCAGTCACATGGTGGCTCCCAACCATCTATAGGGATCTGCGCCCTCTTCTGGCTGGCAGGCGCACATGCATGATGGCAAGAAATTGCATATATGGTAAATCTCTTTCAAAAAAGGAAATTAGGACCCCGCCTGAGCTATAGGCCCAGTTTTCAAGGAGAAAAGTCTCTGTGGTGCTGACAGGCAGGAGAGTCCCTGTCTTCTTGCATTCTACATTGGGGGGGGGGGTCACATGGAGTCTGACTTCCTTTTGGCCTCTAGCTCAGAATCAATAATAGGAAGACTCACCCTGAACTATAGGCTCATCTGTCTCTACAACTTAAATGCTGTTTACCTGCATGTAGGCACAGGCTGTTGGCATAGGGCTGCAATCTCTCCTGCAGCATGTCTTGCTTCCTCTGTCTTTTATTCTCTCAGCTCTCCGTCCAGTCCTGTCTAGTCTCTGACTATTGACCATTTAGTTTTTATTAAACCTATCCCGGTGCTGCATTGTGCATTGTGACTTGGGATCGTGTACATGAGGATTTGGTTTCTGACCTGGTGCTGTTTTCTATTGGCTTCACTGCAGAATATAATCAGACATTGGACCTTGTTTCCTGACTGCCCATCCCTGAATAATCACAAACTATATTAAGATGAGTTAATACAGTTGCCCAGTGACTTAGGTGAATTCCTATTTAGGTCTTTTTTTTTAGTTTTTCGAGACTTTCTCAGTTGCTTTGGAGCATGTCCTTATTGAACAATGGTTAAAAGAAAAAGTAAATGGTAAAAAGAAAAAGAAAAATGGTTAAAAGAAAAAGAAAAAACAGGGCTACCCGGGAGTGCCAGTCCTTCAGCTGCTCACATTCCCAACTGCTGGGAAGCTCCTGTGGAAGGAAGGGCTGTGATGAAGGAGCTGTGGTCTTTCTTGCAGGAAAAGGTGGAAGAGATGGAGCAGCGCACTGCGGAGCTTCTCCGTGAAAACCAGGAGCTGAAGGAGAACTGCACCAGCCTCCATCAGCAGAAGTCAGATGTGCAGGCAGAGCTGCAGAGGGAGCAGGTACAGATGCTGGCCAGAGGTGAACTTGGGATCATGCACATGAGAATGCGGTGTCTGACCCGGTGCTAAATTCTGTTGGCTTCACTCCTGATTGTAATCGAAGATTGCTTGTAATCAGAAAGAGCCACCATGTGCTTACTGGGAATTGAACTCAGGACCTCTCTGGAAGAGCAGCTTGATGTCTGTCTTTCTCTCCTGGCAGAGACAGACTTCATTATTGGATTTTCTTGCAGGGAAAGGTGGAAGAGATGGAGCATCGCACTGCGGAGCTTCTCCGTGAAAACCAGGAGCTGAAGGAGCACTGCACCAGCCTCCATCAGCAGAAGTCAGATGTGCAGGCAGAGCTGCAGAGGGAGCAGGTACAGATGGCTGGCCAGAGGTGAACTTGGCCATGAGAGAATTGCCCTTGCCTTGAACCAGTTATTTCGTATTTGCCTTTGATTTATCTGCTTTGGGAAGAAGAAAGGCAGAGGGGGTCTCTAGCCAAAAACAGGGACAAGATCTGCTGGATGGGGACATCAATGTCAACATGGCAACATGTAAATGAATAGAAATGAGGTAATTTAAATTACACGAGCCAGGTGGATGATGGCCGGAGAGATGGCTCAGAGGTTCCAGAGGCCCTGAGTTCCAGTCTTCAGCACCCACATGGTGGCTCTCAACCATCTGTATTGAGATCTGGCGCCCTCTTCTGGCCTGCAGACATATATGCATGATGGCAAGCTTTCATAATGAGTCTGTCTTTACTTGGGAAATGACAGGCAGGACAGAAATTTTTTCTTATGGAAGTTGTACTATAGCCTTATCCTAGACTATCACTAGAGTCTTAGCTGGGGTGTCTGCCTAACCCTGAAATGTGTCCCCCATTCCAGTCATCTCATTACTGTACCCCTACACCTAACCTGATCCCCCTTGTTGCCATGCCTACCCAGCTACTGTCCACCCTGGAGACAGTTTCCCCTTTCCATACAGATCCATGCATTCCCCTTCTAGTCTGGTGTATCATGGATATCACCACCCCCCTTTTTTTTTTTTGAGACAGTACTTCTGTCCTAGAAATCCCTGTAGGCAAATCTGTAGATCTGCCTATCTCTCAGAACTTGTGGCTTAAGGTTTGTCTTTCTCTGCTGGCAGAGGCAGACTTAATTCTGTGATTGCACTGGCAGTCTGGCCAATGTCTTCTATCCCACTGCATAGCTGCTCTGGCTGGCGTGTGCCAGGGCCACTCCAGTGAGTGCCAGTCACTCAGTTGCTCACCTTCCCAGCTGGTGAAAAGCTTCTGCTGGAAGGAAGGGTTCGAATAGAGGAGCTGTAGTCTCTCTTGCAGGAAAAGGTGGAAGAGATGGAGCAGCGCACCGGGAAGCTTCTCAGAGAAAACCAGCAGCTGAAGGAGAACTGCACAGATGCGCAGGCAGAGCTGCAGAGGGAACAGGTACAGATGCTGGTCAGAAGTGAACATGAGGACGTGGTGTTTGTCCCGGTGCTATTTTCTGTTGGCTCCACTACTGATTATAATCGGTGATGGTGTCTTTGCTTCCTGACTGCTCAGGTCAGAATAATCACAATGAAAGTATTAATGTAACACTGGTTAGCCTATGACTTCGGCATATTTATACCTAGCTCTTCTGTCTATCAATCTGCATCTCCACAAGCACGTGGCTTACTCTCGGGTGCCTTTGGCAGCTACAAGTGTTTTCTCTGACTCCCATTCTTTCTCCCTGCATTTAGTCTAGCTTTCCCACCTGCCTGTATTCTGCCCCACGATAGTTGAAAACAGCTTCCTTATATTACAGAACAATGGTTAAAATTAAAACATTAAAAAAACCATAGCATACAAAGAGGGATTCAACATCTCCTGATTGGCTTTTACATATGATGCCTTTTTAAATTGTTTCAATGTGGCTGCTCTTCAGAGTTCAGGGAAGAAGAGGGGGGGGGAGTTCCTACCAGACAGAACAAGACCCACTGGAGGAGAGGTCAGAGCCATGAGTCCCTTGACAACCTGTAGATGAATACCTTGATTTAAGGTATAAGAGCTAGTTGTGGGGAGACTGGAGAAATGGCTGAGGAGGATTAGATCCTCCAGAGTCCTGATTGCAATTCCCAGCAACTACAGTTTGGGCATCAGCCACCTGTGGGTTCTGGTGCCTTATGGTGTGCAGGCATACATGCAGGCAAAATTCTGTACACATTATTTAAGTTAGAAATAAGCCTAAGCTATAGGCTGTGCTTTTCATAATTAGTAAGAAGTCTCGGTGTCATTGTTTAGCTGTTGACAAGCGCGGCAGAGAGTCTCTTCATAGTGCACCCCACTTTGGGCCATGGATGAATTTTCCTTTGGGCTTCCAGTTCATAAAACTAGACATGGTGACATTAATTACCAAACTCGGTCTTTGCCATTGTCGTGTCCCTCTGGCTTCTCTCCTTTAAGACGTTTCAATTCATCTCAGTACTCTGTCCAGCAGTCCTGCCTATATCTCCTGCCCCAATATTGGCTCTTTAACTCTTAACATTGCCACATCTTATCACAGTGTAAGGGAATATTCCACAGCGGTGTCCCAGCCCCTCCACTAGAAGTCTTTCCTGATAATGGCAGACTTATTTCTGCGATTCTCTTGCAGCGAAAAGTACAAGAGATGGAGCAGCATGTTGAGAAGCTTCTCCGAGACAACCAGGAGCTGAGGGAGCAGTGCACCACCTGGCAGAAACTGAGCTCACGCAGGCAGGCAGAGTTAAAGAAGAAGCAGGTACAGATGCAGGTAAGGCATGAACATAGTCATGTAGATGTGGATTGTGGTGTCTGACCCAGTGCTATTTGCTGTTTGATTATATATGTTTGTTTGTTTCCTGACTGCCCAGGCCCAAATAATTAATCACAAAAAACTATATTAATTATAACACTGCCTGGAAAATGACTTAGGCATATTCCTACCCCAGCTCTTGTTTCTCAGATTTCTCCATTTATAGTAATCCTTGTATCACCACACTATGGTGTCTTTGGCAGCTACAGTCTCCTCCAGTGTCTTTCTCAGTTTTAGTTTCCCCTCCTACCCACATTCTGCCCCTGTCATAGGGAAAAACAATGGTTTAAAAAAATGCAGAGCATACAAAGGGAGATCCTACATCACCCGATTTATAATTGCCTTTTACATTGTGTCTTAAACAATTCTGTGCCTTTTTAAATGTTTTGATGAGGTTGCTATTGAGTTCTGGGAAGTCAAGTACCACAGGGAAAAATCTGCTGGTGGAGATCAAAGTCACCAGTCACATGGCAACATGTAGATGAAGAGAAAGGAGTTAATCAAAATTAATTGAGCAAGGTGGGTGACTGGAGTGCTCTACCAGAGGCCAAGTTCCAGCACCCACGTGGTGGCTCTCAAACATCTGTAGTGACATCTGGCGCCCGCTTCTGGCTGGCAGGCGCACATGCAAATTGCATACATGATGAGATCTTTTTCAAAAAAAAACAAATTAGAAACCCGCCTAACCTGCAGGACAAAAACCTTTCCTTCATATGGAAGTTGTACTATAGCCTCATCCTTCTGGCCCTACAACTTAAAGGCTGTTTATCTGCATGTGGACACAGGGCTGGGATCTCTCCTCCAGCATGTGTTGCTTTCTAGGTGTCTGGTTTGAGACACCGCTTTTTATCCAGAGCCCTCTGTCCATAGCCACTTAGGGTTTTTATTGAACCTATCACGATTTCACATGTAAAGGTGTAAAGGACATTCCACAGCAGTTTCCCAGCCCCCCACTGCAGTCTTACCTGGTCACAGGAGAGAGCCAGGTCAGGCTATGAGTCCACTCTCAGTAGAGTCTTAGCCGGGGTGTCTACCTGACCCTGAAATGTGCCCCCCATTTCAGTTATCTCTTAGAGTACTGTACCCATCCATTCACCCCACCTAACCTGATTCCCCCCTGTTCCCACATCTACCCTGCTAAGGTCCACCCTTAGCAGGGTCTTTGTCTTCCCTTTCCATACAGATCCATGCATTCCCACTTGAGCCTTCCTTGTTACATAGCCTCTCTAGTCTGCTTTGTAACATCCTTGAAAGATAGTGTTTTGTCTGCATGTGTCTACAGACCAGAAAAGGGCACCAGATTTCATTACAGATGGTTGTGAGCCACCATGTGGTTGCTAGGAATGGAATAGTCAGTGCTCTCAACCTCTGAGCCATCTCTCCAGCCCTCACCACCCCCTCCCCTTTTGTTATTTTTTTGAGACAGGGTTTCTCTGTAGCTTTGGTGCCCTCTGTAGCTCTTGTAGATCAGGCTGGCCTCGAACTCCCAGAGATCCGCCTGTCTCTGCCTCCCGAGTGCTGGGATTAAAGGCATGCGCCACCCCCTTTTTTTGGGACAGTACTTTTGTCCTAGAACTCTCTGTAGACCCAATGTCTACATCTTAGAGAAGCTTCTGCTGGAAGGAAGGGTTCGAATAGAGGAGCTGTAGTCTCTCTTGCAGGGAAAGGCGGAAGAGATGGAGCAGCGCACCGGGGATCTTCTCAGAGAAATCCAGCACCTGAAGGAGATGTGCGCCCTCCTCCGCCAGCAGAAGTCAGAAGTGCAGGCAGAGCTGCAGAGGGTACAGGTACAGATGCTGGCCAGAGGTGAACTTGAAGCATGTACATGAGGGTGCAGTTTCTGACCCGGTGCTATTTTCTGTTGGCTTCACTACTGATTTAATCAGAGACTGAAACTATTAAAATTAACACTGCTTAGCCTATGCCTTTGGAGTATTCCTACCTAGCTCTTATATCTTAAATTTATTGATGTCTATCAATCAATCTCCACAAGCCTGTGGCTAACTGAAGGGCTCGGTTGTCTTTGCCAGCTACAAGGGTTCTCTCTGACTACTCCTCCTTTCCCTGGATTTAGTTTTCCCACCTGCCTATATTTTGCCCTGCAATAAGGCAAAACAGATTCTTCATCGAACTATTAAGATAAAAAAATTAAAAACATTCACTCACAACATACAAAGGGGGACCCAACATCACCTGAATTATTGCCTTTTACATCTGATGCCTTTTAAAAATGTTTCAATGTGGCTGCTCTCCAGAGTTCCAGAGGGAACAAGACCCGCTCATGACTATGTAGTTTAACACCTTAACTTAAGGTATAAAAGGTAGTTGTGGGGAGACTGGAGAAATGGAGAACTGGCTGCTGCTCCTCCAGAGTCCTGTAGGCCGAACACTGTATACATAATAAACAAGTAAAATAAAGGCTAGTTAGTAATAAGCCTAAGTAATAGGCCGTGCTTTTCATAATTAGTCAAAAAATCTCTGCATTGTTTAGCATGTCCCTCTGGCTAAGACTTCATCTCAGCCCTCCCTCTGTCCAATAGTCCTGCCTATATCTCCTGCCTTGCTTTCCTCTCCTTAGCTTTTCATTAAACCAATCACATTGCCACATCTTCTCACAGTGTAAGGGAATGTTCCACAGCAGCGTCCCAGCCCCTCCCACTGGTTACAGGAGATAGCACAGCTATACACAGCCACTCTTGTTAGAGTCTTAGAGTGGGCAGTCACTCTGCTGCTCACCTTCTCTGCTTGTGGGAAGCTCCTGTGGAAGGAAGGGCTGGAATAAAGCGGCTGTGGTGTCTCTTGCAGGAAAAGGTGGAAGAGACCAAGGAACGCACTAAGAAGCTTCTCCGAGCAAACCAGGACCTGAAAGCCGTTATATCGAAGCAGCTGAAACAGAAAACAGACACACAGAACACAGCACAGGCAGAGCTACAGGGCAAGAAGGTACAGCTACTGGCCAGAAGTGTACTTGGAACATGTCTCTCTGGCTCTACACCTTAAATTAACCCATTTCTGTTTATCTGCATGTGGGCACAGGGCTGTGATTTTTCCAGCATGTCTTGCTCCCTCTGTGTCTGGTTGGAGAAGCCCCCTTCCCAGATCTCTCTGTCCAGTAATCCTGTCTGTAGCCCCTGAGCACTGTAGCTATTGACCACTTAGGTTTTTGTTAAACCTATCATGGTGCCACATGTGCCACATGGTGACGCAGTGTAAAGGACATTCCACGGCAGTGTCCCAGCCCCCACTGTGAGTCACCTGGTCACAGGAGAGAGCCAGGTCAGGCTATGCATCCATTTTACCTGGGGTGTCTACCTGACCCTGAAAGGTGCCCCCCATTCCAGTTATCTCCCAGTACTGTATTCCTCCACTCACCCCACCTAACCTGATCCCCTGTTCCCACTCCTACCCAGCTACAGTCCACCCCGGAGATTTTTCTTCCCTTTCCATACAGATCCACGCATTCCTGCTTGAACCTTCCTTGTTCCATAGCCTCTCTAGTCTGTGTAGCATGGATATTGCCACACCATTCAAGACAGGCCATTCTGCCCTAGAATGGATGTCCGTAAACCTGCCTGTCTCTCCTCATAAATTGTGGCCTAAAGTCTGTTTCTCTGCTGCCAAAGGCAGACCTAATTCCGTGATTGCACTGGCAGGCATGCCAATGTTGCGCCTTCTGACTCACTGCATAGCTGCTCTGGCTGGCGTGTTCCTAGGCCACTCCTGTGAGTGCTAGTCATTTGGAAGCTCCTGTGGAAGGGCAGGAATTAGAGGCTGTGGTGTCTTGCAGGGAAAGGAGGAAGAGGTGGGGCAGCGCGTTGGGAAGCTTCTCGGAGAAATCCAGCACCTGAAGAAGATGTGCGCCCTCCTCTGTCAGCAGAAGTCAGACGCGCAGGCAGAGCAGGTACTGATGCTGGCCAGATGTGAACTTGGTGCATGTCCTGGCTGTCCTGGAACTCACTCTAGACCAGGCTGGCCTTGTACACAGACTTACCTGATTCTGCCTCCTGAGATTAAAGGCTTCAACCGCCACCACCAGGCAGTTCTTTACATCCCACCTAATATTGATTTATGAGTGAGTGGGTACTGCCTTGTGTTTCTGGATCTACGTACCTCACCTTTTATAGTTCCATCCATTGCCTTCAAATTTCATGCCAGTGTTTTTGGATTTTGTTATGCTTTTTGGTTTGGTTTCTTTTTTGTTTGTCTTTTTTCAAGACAGTTTAGCTTTGGAGCCTTTTCTATAACTAGCTATTGTAGACACAGCGATCCTTCTGTGTCTGCCTCCCGAGAACGGGATTTAAGGTGTGCACCACCATTACCTGGTGTGGGAGGTCCTTCCGTTTATATGTTGATTTTATTAATGAATCAAGAACTGCCCTGAGCCTATGGCAGGAAGAACAGAAGTAAGCGGGGAAAGCTAGGCTAGTCTTCTTCAGCAAGCCAGAATTTCCAGAGAGCTGGAAATGGCCAAGGCTGTAGGGCACCCAGTGATGTACGACCTCCAGCAAGTCTGCAACTTTCCAGAACCATAAATGGCACCACCATCTAGGGACCAAGTGTTCATAAGGACCTTTCTTATGACCACAATGCTTACATGCTAAAACTTGTCCTAAAAATAATCTGCTTTGGGGCTGAAGAGATGGCTCCCCAATAGGTCCTGAGTTCACTTCCCAGCCACCACGTTGTGGCTCACAACAATCTGTACTGCGATCTTGTGCCCTCTAATAGCCTGAAGGAGGCATTGGAGGCACTGCAGCACATCAATGAGCCTAGTATATAAAGCAGAACAGCTCTAGGTTTAGGAAGACAAGCCTTAAGACTAGACCCTTAGGCTCTAGGGTAGAGCTGGTGAGCAGGGTCACTGAGGGTTCTTTGCAGTGGGGAATTGCTAGAACGGTCTTCCTTCCTTTACAGAGATTGTAACATTTTTGCTGGGTAGTTTTTTTTATCTTACTGTAAATTCACTGTTTGCTTTAGGCCCAACTTGCTCAACAGAACAAGGAGCTCATTGTGGAAAACCAAGCAACATCAAACACCATGCAACATCAACGAAGTAAAATTGGCGAGCTCCTCCAGCGTTTAGCTCTACAACAGGTAGACTACAAGATGGCAGCTACAGGATGTCTCCCTGACTCTGCCTTTTTTCTCTCTGCATTCAGTTTCGTCTACTTCTTTTGCCATTGGCCAAAGAGATTCTTTATATTAACCAATGCTAGCAAAACACAGTCACAGGGGAATCTCACATCACCTGATCTCCTTTTACATTCTGTCTTAGTTCTGTGCCTTTCTAGATGGTTTTCAATGGTGGCTACTAGTTTTTAAGACAGGGCTTCCCAGTGTAACTGTCCTGGTTGCCTGGCTGCTTCTGCCTCCCAAGTGCTGGGATTTAATGTACGAACAACTAACAAACTACTAACTTGGCTTTTATCCACTGATAGCAGTCTGCCAGGTCCTCTCCAGGGTTGGGAATCACTCAGCTGCTCACCTTCCCAGCTGGTGGGAAGCTCCTGTGGAAGGAAGAGCTGGAATAGAGCGGCTGTGCTCTGTTTTGCAGAAAAAGGTGCAAGAGCTGGAGCTACGCATTGAGAAGGTTCTCCGAGAGAACCAGCAGCTGAAGTATAGGTGCGCCAGCCTCCCTAAGCAGAACTCCGATGAAGAGTTGCAGAGTGAGCAGGTACAGATGCTAGCCAGAGGTGAACATGGAGCATGTACATGAGGATGCGGTGTCTCTGACCCACTGAGTCCTGGCTGTCCTGGACTCAACTCTTGACCAGGCTGGCCTTGTACACAGATTCACCTGGTTCGGCCTCCCAAGTGCTGAAATTAAAGGCACGAACCACGACTGCCAGGTGGTTATCCTGGCACCTAATTATTGACTATTACACCTAATAATTGACTTTTGAGTGTATGCGTACTGTCTTTGTGTTTCTGGGTATCTCACTCTATTTAATTTTTTTAAATTTTTTATAAATTTATTTATGTATACAACATTCTTTCTGTATGCCTGTTGGCCAGAAGAGGTCACTAGACCTCATTACATATGGTTGTGAGCCACCATGTGGTTGCTGGGAATTGAACTCAGGACTGGACCTCTGGAAGAGCAGGCAATGCTCTTAACCACTGACCTACCTCTCCAGTCCCTGGTCTGTAATTCTTGAGCTACAGGGTAGATAGAGCTGGTGAGCAGAGTTGCTACGGGGACATACATAGACCTTAGCATTGTTGCTGGGTAGTTTTCCTTTATATCTTACTGTAGAATTCCCAACTGGCGACGGACCAAACGAAATGGCCATTTAACTGAACAGGTAGACTTGTGCAGGAAAGCATTTTCATTCAGGAAAAGCACACTTTGTGCTTTCTCTACCAGCTCTGGGGAAGGTCTTCCTGCGTAGCAGCCTTGGCTGGCCTGGAACCCAATTTCTCCTGTCTCTGCCCCTTTGGTTCTGGATTGAAGGTGTGCACTACCATGTCCAGATCAAAGAAGTGTGGCTTTAGAAAACTAAAAGACTTGCCTCTCCTTCAGCATCCTCCTTTCTCATGAGTTCAGCAGGTTACTGTGTGTGTGTGTGTGTGTGTGTGTGCCCAACCATGCTTGGTACTAAAGTCTTTCTGTGCAGAAGGAACCGAAGAGCAAGCTTGACAAGACTGAAGAAGCAAAGAAGAGGACAGTGAAGAAACTGTCTATGGCATGTTCCCTTTCTGCCTGGCTATGTGGGTGGGTGTCTGTTTTTAGGAGATGGAAAGGTATAGTAAGACATTAGGATCTTTGGATAGTGTTCACCTATGGTGCTTTGCTTTTTATCCAAAAGGACAGAGAATCTGCCATCTGCCAGTAAAGATGTTTCAGAGAGATGGATGTGTCTGATATGATGAATGATCAAGGAATATTGAAAACTGAGCATCACAACACTAGTAATCTTTGGGTTAGGGACAAAAAAACCATAAAGCCATACAAAGGGAAATTATGACACAGCCAATTTTGTTATTGATGTTGGCAATTATCATTAATGTTAAATGATAACGTTAGTAGTCACGGCAATGGAAGCCTCATTAAGTAGTAACTACCTGAAGTAGCTTGTTGTACAGGAGGCCTCTAACAGGTACCTGCAATCTGCTTTCTGAAGGGAGGGAAAGACAAGGGAAGATCCTGCTGTCTGTTAGTCTCTCTCTCCTCCAGCATAGTTTTGAAAACTGGATTTTGCCAGCTCGCCCTTCCAGTCTCAGCCAGGTAGAGGTGGAGGCAAAAAAAACCACCAATAGTAGGATTAGCTGAAGTGTGTTTGTGAGCTGTGTGTGTGTACAACCAAGACGTGGGGAGTGCTGAAACAACCTGGAACTCTAGGAGAAAGTCCTCCCAACCCAGACCCAAGCACCTCAGGCCTCACGGGCCTCTTTACATCTGACATCAATTTTAAGGTCTACCTTACCCTGCCAGTTCAACTGAAACCCTGGCATTACCGTGCCTGCTCAAGCTCTCCAGCATTTGGCTAAGTCCCCAGCACTGTCCTTCTTCCTCCCAGAGGTTCCTCATTCCTTGTCATCTCCCACCACTTTACCCCCCCCACTCCCTCCCCTCCCTTTGAAGCCAGTCTGCTTTGGGGTTACTTTTCAGCCTAATCCTAATTCTAACCCCTTTGTTGACAGGGGCGCTCCCTCCACTTTTCTCTCCTTGATATACCAGAAAGCGCAAACAGTGCCTCTGCCGACGACGACTAGCAAGAAGAAAGAGTTGAGCCCCCGGCCCAGGGTGGGAGTAGCCCGTGGAGGCCGCCAGAAGGCTTTCCAGCAGGGAAGACTGAATGCTTGGGATGCCCTTTTATTAGGGCCTTTGCTCCCAGTCTGTAAGTCACTTAGGAGTGCAGCCATACCAGAAGGCAAAATATGCAAAATAAATCGCTTTTAAAGATAACGGTTCTGTTTTTTTTTATTCCCCCCCCCCCCACAATTTCTCTGCACAACAGCCTTGGCTGTCCTAGAACTTACTCTACAGACCAAGCTGACTTCAAACTCAGACAACCTGCCTTTCTGCCACCTAAGTGCTGGGATTAAAGGCATGTTACACCATGGCCTATAGGGTTTCTCTGTGGCTTTGGAGCCTGTCCTGGAACTAGCTCTCACAGTGATTCACCTGCCTCCAATGCTGGGATTAGGTTTGGTTTTTTGGTTTGTTTGTAGACCAGGCTGGCAGAGATCCTCCTGCCTCTGCCTCCCAAGTGCTGGGATTAAAGGTGTGCGACACCATCGCCGGCTAGGTTTGGTTTCTTTTTAAAGGGGGAAGGACTAGAGAGGTGGCTCAGGTTAGAGAGGTACTCTATGCTTGTTCAGAAGATCTGAACTCCAGTTCCCAGCAGCTCCAGGGAACCTGCCTCTCACCTGGCCTCTGGCTTGTAAGCAGAGGTACAAACATGAATAACAATTCCTAGCATTTTTAAAGGGGGCAGCACGATAGCTCGTGAGTAAAGACACTGCCAAACTGGTGACCTGAATTCCATCCCGGGGACTCCCAAAAGTTCTGACCGCCATACGAACACACACTAAGTAAACGGTATTTTTGCCTGAAAGGAGACCGTTCATTTGGCACCTTGTATGTTAACACATACAAATGGCTATGGGAATACTACCATCTCACCGCCTGCTCAGTCAATGGAAGAGTGTACCTGGTCCTGCCTTCTCACTGACTTACCATGCAGTGTGAATTCTGTATGCTTTATTGTTGGGGCCCACAGATGTGAGTCCATTCCTTGTCAGAGTTATGACAACATGTGGCTACAGAGCAGGAGAGATACTGACCTAGGGTATGGTTAGTGTCTTGAGTATAGATGTATCCAGCTCTGCCTGGACCAGAGTTTGGAGATGCTCTATGCCTTGTGTCAGTTAATAAAGTTCGCCTCCCCCCTCCCCTTTTGTAGTGGGGTATCAAAATGTGTTTCCCTCCTGATGCTATTATCTATTTCATGCCTTATTTCTTTCTGTTGCTTTTTGCTTAATTCTGATCCCCACACTCCTGCCCTGGAACGTGCCAAGTCCAGCCCAAAAGACTTCTCCAAACCTGCCTAATTGAACTGTCACAAAGACAATTCTGCTTTCTCCTGTGGTGGACCAAACTGGCAGAGACACCTAGAAAAACTCTCTTCCTGCTGGGGCTCTCCTGATGTGACATTCATTCAGTCCCTTTGATTTTAATTGTTTTCATGCATAGGATGTGTTGATGAAATCCCCTCGCTCCAATTCCTTTTCTACCCTGCCTGTCTGCCCACCCCCACCCCCCCACCGCAGCAATTTCACACGCTCTTGTTTGTAAGCGTTCTTAGTCCTCAGGGCTACTTGTGTGACTGTGGGGCCCACCTACCAGATGGCTCAGGGGCTGCTCCCCTGGAGAAGACCGACTCTCCCTTTGCAGTAACCAGTTTGACAATGTGTGGACTTCATTGTCGTCTACAGAGTTCACACTTAAGACCCACGCGATAAACAAATGAGAATGAAAGCTGGGCGACGGTGGCGCACGCCTTTAAAGAAGGAAGGAAGGAAGGAAGGAAGGAAGGAAGGAAGGAAGGAAGGAAGGAAGGAAGGAAGAAAGGAAAGAAAGAAGAAAAAAGTCACATTATGGAATTAAACAAAAATTAAACAGGTAAATCTAATATATTATCCGGTCAGCTGCAATTCAATTTCTATAGAGCTTGTGTATAAGCCATATATAGGCCATGTGGGATGTGAGTGTGTATTATTATTTTGAGGTGTCAAGTCGTGCTGGGGTGCCCAGAATGGAGCAGAATGGAAGTAAACTGCAGACTCTCCACCAGAGGGCTTAGGAGTTCAGGACAGGCCGGAGGCTTGACTCCCCTTCTCCCACGAGGGCAGCAGCTAAGCCCCCAGCTTCCAGCATCTTCCGTGGTCCCCAGCTAAGGAGACAAGGTTCACTCGCATAGGTTCTACCACTGAGCAGACACTGAGGGGGAAGAGGCCCTATCTCTCCTCTGGAACTCCCAGCTCAGGGGGTTGGCTGGAGAATGGAGCCTCTTGCTCCATTCTCGGGTTACAGGCAGTTATGAGATGCTCAACATGGTTGCTGGGAATCAAACTTGAGTCTTCCTCAAGAATAGTAAATCAGTAAATATAGTCACCTCTCTAGCACCCTCATTCATTCATTTATATATCATGGGCCACATCCACGAAGAAAACAAAGTACAGACTGTTGCTACGGGGCTGGTTTGAATGAGTATGAATCCCACAGGATCATATATTTGAATGTTTGGTCCTCAGTGAGTGAACAGTTTGGGAAGGATTAGGAGGTGTGACCTTGCTGAAGTATGTGTGACCTTGTGGAAGCAGGTGTGTCGGGTAGGCTTGGATGTTTCCAAAGTACATCAGGCCCAGTCTCTATCCTTCTCTGCCTGTTGTGCCTGCTGATCAGGATATGAAGCTCTCAGCTACTGCTCCAGGCTGTGCCTGTCTGCTCCCTGCCATGACGATAATGGACTAACCCTCTGAAACGCAAGCAAGCCCCCAATTAAATGCTTTCTTTTATAAGATGCCTTGGTCGAGGAGTCTTTTCATAGCAAGAGAATAGGAGCCAAGACAGCTGTTGCTCTTGGCTACCCACTGGAACTCCACGGAAAGACTCTATTGCTGAAGACCCGAGGTATTGATCACGGGACACGAGGAATCAAGCTGGTGCTCACAGGGAAGCATCCTCACATCTGGCTAGACTTCATAGTGACTGAAGGTGCTTTGTGGGCTACTGAGGGAGAAAAGATATCAACATCTGTGAACCCTGGGAGCTGCAGTAATGATCAGCCTGGCAAGGTTTAAGTAACGATCACCAAAGGCAAGATATACCATTGGTGCAATAATGGTATGGAGGTCATGGGGTAACCAACGGTTTTCTACTGGACTTAAAGCCTACTCCACAGGAGGCAATGAATATCTGCTGAAAACCTGGCCAGGAACCAGTGGCTGGAGAGGTCATAGACCCTGTCACTTTTTTTTTTTAAAGGGACGTGGTATCAAACCACCTTTTAAGTATCTGTACCTGTAGACTAGTGTAAAATCTGTTTTAAAGGTGCCTCCAGATCCAACCCTAGCCGGTTCTTGTCTCCAAACTACTTAGCTTTTTTGGCTAAGTGGGAGCAGAACGACGAAACCTTCCAGAAGGGAGGGATGGAGAGGAGCAGGGGAGGAAGAGAAGGCAAGAGGTATGGTTCTGAAAGAGACAGCAGGGATGGCTTCCAAGGTATTAGGGAGGGACTGAGGTCTGACCTCTCCAGGTCTCTTTAGGAAGCTATATCCTGGTCCCAAAGTAAGCTGGACAGGCCTGGAGAGAGGGCTCAGAGGTTGAGAGTGTCTCCAGTTCTTCAAGAGGATGGCTTTGGCCCTCAGCATGTGTGACAGTTGGCTCACACTGCCTGTAACTCCAGGAGCCTGGGATCTGACAAGCTCTTCTGGCTTCCAAGTGTGCCTGCATTCATACGGGCACCCCCACACAGTGCACCCCCACACACGCGCACCCCCCCCCGTGTACGTATAAGAATAAAATAAAATCTTGATGTTTTGTTGTGAGTCATAGTCTCTAATGGTTGGGCTATCTTTCCAGCCCTGTAGTAGAATCTTAATTTTAGAAGTTAGCTGGAAGGTCAGACCACTGACAACGAAAGAGTTACAGAACATCAGCTTGGGCGATGGCGAGAGGTGAGAAAGGCTCTGGCCAACAGTTCTTATCTGCAGGGAAGTTTAAGAGCAGTTGCCACTTGTACTGGTTTCCTGGACTATGAACTTTATTGGAGGGAAGACAGAGAAAGGTTGAGTGGAAGGGAGCTAGGCTCAAGCTCCACGACTCCTTCCCCAACTCTTCCACACGCGGGTCCCACCCTTTCCCTAGAAGGTACAGTGCTGAACCCCTACACCTCGGAGCCAGGCCTCTCCCTGAGCCTTGCCTCCCTTATTTGTAGACCTTACTACGTGCTTTACATACAGCACATTTAAATGGTCAGTGAGGAGTCCAGTGCTCAGAGATTGGTACCGAGGAGCAGGAACAAAGTGCAGGGGATGCGCGCTCTTCTTGAGAGACAGGAGAATAAAACAGGCCCATGCCAATAAAGAGATAAACAGCTATGCAGGATGCCTCACACCTACAATCTTTGGGAGCTTGAGATGAGAGGAGAACCATGAGGTCCAGGACAGCCTGGGCTCCATAGTGAATTCCAAGCCAGTCTGGGCTACAGTGTGAGACCATGTCTCTACAGTTACATTCCTGGCCCTAGCTGTTACACAGAGAAACCATGTCTCAAAAAACAACAAGAACAGAAAGTGAAAGGAAACAAAACAAAAACCTTAACACACACACACGTGCACACGAGCATGTGCATGCACACACATGCACACACGAAGTGAGTTTCTTGTGTAGCTAATTGTGAGGGGCAAAAGTCTCCATCTTGGGAAGACTGTCTGCTTCTCTGTTGTATATTTTATTGCCTTTTAAAGATTTCCTAGGGCTGTAGAGATTTGTCAGTGGTTAATGCATGCGCTGTTCTTGCAGAGTCCTGGAGTGTTGGCTGCAGGCTCACAAACATCTGTCAGTCCAATGCTAGGGACTCCAATGACTTCTTCTGGCCTCCAGGGGCACCTGCACTCAGTGCACATATACACATAATAAGATAAGATATATTTTAATTTATGTATTTGTGTTATGTCTGCCACATATATACAGCTGCCTGTGGAGGCCGCAGGAGTGTGTCAGATTCCCTGGAGCCAGAATTATAGGCAGTTCTGAATCACCCATCAAAATAGATGCTAAAAATCAAACTCAGGTCCTGCAAGAATAGATCATGCAATAATTGCTAAGACATCGCTCCAGATCCTATTTTTATCACCTTTTAATAAGGTTTTATTTTATTTTATTTTTTTGACACAGGTTTCTCTGTGTAGCCTTAGCTGTCCTGGAACTCACACTGTAGACCAGGCAGCCTCGAACTCACAGAGATGTGCCTGCCTCTGTCTCCTGAGTTCTGAGCTCAAAGGCCTGCATCACCTCGACCTGGCTGGTTTTATTCTTTTTTAAAATTTGTGAGGGGTCTTGTTATAGCCTAGGCTAGCCTTGAACTTAAGACTCGCCTGATTTAGCTTCTTAGCTGGGATTACAGATGTACACCGCCAAGTTCAGCATTTTCCTCATCTGTTTTGAGATGGTGTTTAATAAATGTGTGTCTTCGGAGCTCCACAGGCTGACAGCAAGAAGGAGGAGTCAGTACATGGGGCAAGCAGGATGCTGGTTTAGAATGTAGGTCCTAGGCTGGGCAGTGGTGGCGCACGCCTGTAATCCCAGCACTCGGGAGGCAGAGGCAGGCGGATCTCTGTGAGTTCGAGACCAGCCTGGTCTACAAGAGCTAGTTCCAGGACAGGCTCCAAAACCACAGAGAAACCCTGTCTCGAAAAACCAAAAAAAAAAAATAAATAAAAAAATAAAAAAAATAAAAACACAGTAGCTTCAAATCAATCTTCTGCCTTCCATGGGCACCTGCACCACATACAATATACACATTATAGAAAAAACATCAATTTAGAAAAAAAAAAAAACCAGGGCATGGGTGGCATACACCAATAATCCCAGCACTTGGGAGGCTCTCCCAGGAGGATAGTAGGTCCTAGAGAACTGTCGTGTAATGAGTAAGCACAAGCTTAATGGTGCATGCTGATGCAATCCTGTAGTCCTGGAGTTTGGCAAATAGAAGCAGAAGAATCAGGAGTTCAAGGTCATCCTGAGCCTTGAACAGAGTAGGAGGGCAGGGACTATAGCTGAAGACTGGATAAGGTCACTGTATTGAGCAGAAGCCAACTTGTTCACGAGGTCCCCGTGAGCTCAAGAACTTTGAAGGGACTTCTAAGTGGAGGGTGGAACAGCCAATTGAAAATTTTAGAGTGATCAGTGGCATGGGCAGATACCGCTTTAGAATGGTATGACCACCTCCATAATCAATGGCTCCTCTCTCTTAACCCTTTCTTTGTTTTCTGAAACAGGGTCTTGCTATGTAGCTCTGGCTGGCCTGGTACTCATTTTGCCCAAACTGGCCTCAAAACCGTGGCAATCTTGTCCCAGCTTTTCCAAGTGCTGCATTTGTACAAGTGTGTTACCAGGCTGGGTTTAACATTTTCTTCTCCGACCCTAAGTTAGCAAGTAATCGAGCTAAGGCAGAAAAGTTTCAGCAATAGAGAAATGAAAGAAAACTGTTGCCACAACTAACTATAAAGTTATAACTATAACCATAAAGATTCATGAGTTCCAGTTTAGATAAAACTACCATTTGCTCACAAAACTATCATTTTGCCGGTATCTCACAACTTTGAACTACATGGGTACACAGGAGACGGGGAAGGCAGTGGGTTATTGAAGAATGATTCTCTTTAATGACTCAGAGCTGCCTGGGACATAGTTTCCCCTTCTCAACCTTGGTAAGAGCAGCTGGAGATAAGGAACTGTGGTTAGAGCCTCTTGTCTCACCCCCAGCAGAAAGGCTCATTACGACCTCGACTGTTTTCCGGCAGTGGTGGAAAGGTGCCTGCTGCCCCTGCTAATCTGGGGAACCATCGGGGCAGCAGGGGCAAAGAGGTGGGCAATTCACCAGAAAATGGTGTCTGCTGATTTCGGGTTATGCGCACCCCAGCTTCTCTCCATTCAACTGCTCAATTAAGAGCTGACTAGAACAAAATGAAGGAAGCTGCAGTTCTCTAGAACCATCTAGGGAGCCACAGCGACCCCACAGGGACCAGGAAAGCATGCAATTTCCATGGTGGAGTAGGGCTCACGTTGCACCTGGTCCTTCTGGGGGCAACAACAAAAGGCTCAAGAGTGTGAAAGTTCTCAGTGAAGAAGCAGTATTGTTTCATTTTCATTTTATTATAAAGCTGAGATGAGGGTTGTTGTCTAGATGTCTCGTCCAATCTGGTCCACGGACCACATGAGGCTGAAGATAGCTCTGACCAATCTAAACACAAAATCGGCCCTAATTCTTCATTCTCTTTTTTTTTTTTTTTTTTTTTTGGTTTTTTGGTGGTGCACACCTTTAATCCCAGCACTTAGGAGGCAGATGCAGGCAGATCTCTTGAGTTTGAGGCCAGCCTGGTCTACAGAGTGAGTTCCAGGACAGCTGGGATACACAGAGAAATCCTGTCTTGAAAAACAAAAATTACACATAAAAGTAAGTTAAATCAAAAGAAATTTTAGATTTATCTTAGATATACGAGTGTGTTAGTTGCATGCATGTCTGTGCACGACACACATGCCTGGTACCCTCAGAGGCCAGAAGAGGGCATCAGATACCTTGGAATTGGAATAGAGATGCAGTGAGCCACAGTATGGGTGCTTGGTCCTCTGGAAGAGCAGCCAGTGCTCTTAACCACTGAGCCATCTCTCCAGCCCCTTTTTCCTTTTGAGAATAAGGTCTCTTGCCCAAGATGGCTTCAAAAATCACTGAGTAGCGAAGGATGACCTTGAACTTCTGACCTTCCTGTTTCCACTGCTCCATTGAATTTCAGTTCACATCACCATACACAGTACTTGTGCTGAGGATTAAACCCAGGACCTTCATGAATGCCCAGCAAGCATTCTACCAACTGAACTACATCCCCAGCCAAACTAACTTACCTTTTACGATATATAGATAGATGATAGATAGATAGATAGATAGATAGATAGATAGATAGATAGATAGATAGATAGATAGATATGCAGAGTAAAAAGATTAGGGATATCAGGATAGGGATTGGGCAATTGCCATATTAAATGGGGACATTGGGTAAGCTTTCAGTAAGACCCAAAGAAAACTATTGAGTGAGCCACTTGGTTGCAAACAGGAACCGGAGCAGAACACCCAGGGGAAGGGAACTCACCAGACAGAGGAAGGGGGTGAGAGCCTTGATTCTGACTAACGATTACTGTAGCCACAGAATTTGCAGAGTGTGAAGTGGTAGAATGTAAGGACACACTTGGGTGGTAGCAACAGGAAGATCAAGAGTTCAAGTGTGCACCAGCGTGCCCAGCTGTAGTTGATACCAGTGCCCTACTATAGAACTAGCACTAGGTAATCAATAAGAAAGTAAGTAAAATCAAAAAGAAAATTTAGATTTATCTTAGATATACGAGTGTGTTAGTTGCATGCATGTCTGTGCACGACACACATGCCTGGTGCCCTCAGAGGCTAGAAGAGGGCATCAGATACCCTGGAATTGGAATAGAGATGCAGTGAGCCACAGTGTGGCTGGGCAGCGGTGGTGCATGCCTTTAATTCCTTACTCAGGAGGTAGAGACAGGTGGATCTCTGTGAGTTTGAGGCCAGCCTGGTCTACAAGAGCTAATTCCAAGATAGCCAGGGCTGTTACATGGAGAAATCATGTCTCAAAAAAAAAAAAAAAAAAAAAAAAAGGAGAAAGAGAGAGTCAGAATTTTTGCTTTCTGCTGCTTGTCTGGCTACCATGTGACCAGCCACCTCAAGTTCCTATGGCAGCAGCCACAAACTGTGAGCTGGAATAAGCTCATCTTTCCTTGCTTTGCTTTTCATGGGCATTTGTGTCAGAGTGAGAAAAGTAACTAGTGCACTTAGAGAACAAGCCAGCAGACGGCAGGAAAGCTTAGGTTCTTCTCAAGTATACAGGGATCAATCCTGACGCACACTGGGCCATAAAACAAGCTCAATAAACTGAGAAGACTCAGCACAATACAAAGCATGCGCTCTGGTTGGAATAGAAAGAGTTATCTGAATATAGTGATTCAGGTAACCCCAGAATTTGGGAGCATGAGGCAGGTGGATGGCTGTGAGCCAGACCAGTCAGATATGAAGTGAGACCCTGCCTCAAAGCCCTTCCCAATGCAGAGAGTACTTCTGAACTTAAGGGCATTGGGTGCCCATAGGTAAACAAAGAGCCCAAGATGTGTTCCACCCTTATGGAGTACAGGGTGAGGCTGACCACACATAAGCCCCCTGCCACACACAAACATGATCCTCAGCAAAGAGTGATGGTACCTAAGTCAGAAGTGGAGGCTGCACAGAAGTGAAACAAAAGCAGTGTGGGAATGCATCTAAGCTTAGGACACAATTGCACACACCCACAGTGCCAAGGCAAGAGGACCTCCCCTAGTCCAGTGGGTATATAGTAAGGCCCTGTCTCACAAAATATAGGAAGGAAGGAGAAGAAAATGATTAAATAACGTCATCTTAAATGCAAAAAAATTAAAAAGAAAGAGAAGAAAAAGAAGTTGAAAGACGGGGACTGGAGAGATGGCTCAGCGGTTAAGAGGACTGACTCTTCTTCCAGAGGTCAATTCCCAGCAACTACATGGTGGCTCACAACCATCTGTAATGGGGTCTGGTGCCCTCTTCTGGCCTGCAGACATACACACAGAGTACTGTATACATAATAAATAAATAAATAAATATTAAAAAAAAAAGTTAAAGCATAGACTCTCCCCGGCACCTTATCTGTAGTGGATGGACTCCAAGTCCCCAGTACATGCCTGGAACCCAGTAGACAGAACTTTGATTAACTGCGGATCTGGTAATGATGAGCTAAGCTATTAAGTGACTGACTTGCTTGTACCGGGCAATGCTAGACAAGGGGAAGATTCCCCTCCAGGGACAGGCAGGGACAGGA